ATGCTTTCTAAATGCTTTGCCTGAGCCTGCATTTTTTTGTGTGAGAGCTATCGTGAGTTTACGACTAAAAATGCACGAAAATTTGGAAATAAATAAGAAAAGCCAATGATTTTTTCTCCAAAAGTGCGCATCGCAAAATGCAAGCTATCGACATTAGCGTTCAGAGCTCTATCCGTTGGTATTCATTGTCTTCCGAATTGTCACTTCGACCAAGCAAACTTTCCTTCCTAATGATACCGCGAGCAAAAGAAATAGCACGAAGCTAGACAAGATGTAATCTTTCCATTTTTTCGACTTGTGTGAAGTTATCATGTGCAACAAGAAGAACAGTAGGACGGATGAGGAGTCGTGATTTTTCGCGAGGCGGCGTCGCGACGCGACTTCATCAGTATAAGACTCAGCTCCCATCAGTATTCTTGTCGCAGTGCTACTTATGGCATCCTGTCACGCCGTGCCGCCTTAGCTCCGGAGAGTTTTAAGAGACACAGAATTTGAACGCTTAATCTTTGACAATGCGCGAATTGAGAACTATATGTCTCTTAAAGGAGAGTTCCCAAGCATTTTCAACTAATTCTTCTTACACCCGCAAAAAGTGCGTATGTTGCAGATGTCTGTGCGGCATCTCCAACTTTGGCGATCCCCCTACTCAGCGCCCACGCACACCTATAATACTGCTCACAGAATGTGCAGTATTCCGTGAATGTCGCGAATTACGGGAAGACCGCGACATTTCGAGAATTTCACGGAATCAGGCGAATCACGCAAACTACGCAGCGCCATAACTTCCTTCGGAACGAATATCTTCTGATATCAAAAGCAGCATTGTGTTCAGCTCGTTGAAGGCAGCAGCACTCCAAACCTATCCCTATACAGCCTTCCCTCTCCATACTTCTGCACTTCATTTCCCGTTCCCTGTGTTGTTTTCGAAATCAGCATGCCCACTTACCCTCCTGTGCCAACCCCAGCCCCAGCTCAAATTTTGAAAAAATTCGATAAAAGCGATAAAAGTAGCGATAATCGATAATTATGAAAACTAGTGTTGTATTCGGAATATCCATGCCCACTTACCCCCTCCTGTGCCAACTCCCAGCCCTGTAGGTAAACTCTGCAAAAAAACGATAAAAATCGATAAAATCGATATCGATCGATAACGAAAAGTAGCCTTTGACACGCTCCCTGCCCGAAGTGTATGCGTGCCAAGTGTCCAAATCGGTTCAGAAATAAAAAATTCTACTCCGCACATACGTACAGACAGACAGACAGACATTCAGCTTTATATATAAGAAGGAGCGCCAAAAAGTAGTTACAGACTTTTTCCAAAGGAAAAAATCACTTGTTCTAAATTTTACTCGCCATAAAACTGAAATATGAAGCTCTCTTGCTGAGCAAATGTGATGTTCCAATCAGGTCGGAAATCCTCTACAAGCAAATTCTTCGAGATGTTCGAGTTATTTTCTTTTTTCTTGTTTTATGCCCTGAAGCCTCACCGATGGATTTCGGTCAAAATGCTGATGATCTTGAATTGTGAAGAAACTTTGCTTATGAAGGTTTTCGGACACGCTGTTCACGCGTGGTAGAGGAAATGCAGGGTCTTTTCGCAGAGTTATCGTGAGGTAACTGTAACTAAAACACGAAAGTTCGTGACATCGCCTGCACTCCTCGCTAAACATCAGAAAACTTGACGCTTGCTTTATAGCTCAAAGTTACTAGGACTGTGCCTGTGAATAGTGCATGTCTTACAAGGGAACGATACTCGGTGTCCGTGGCCTTTGGAGATGAGATGTATATCATTACACTCGTCTTCAAACGCTGACTCTGAATCTGACTTCCGTTTCTGCTAATCGCTTTAAAGATTTTACGATGGATCGGGCGGAGTTTGGCTGCCTCGTGAAATATGGTCAGAGCGCCAATGCTAACGTTACGCTGTGGTCTAGTGGTTAGTGCGATGGCCTCATGAGTCGATGCAGGTGTAGGTTCGAATCCTTTCCCGTTTTCCAGTTTTGCACTGCCTCATTTAAACTTCTTTCGCACTCTCAAGCTAAGTGAGCGCCTACTCTTCAAAAAATGTGTAGATTTGGAATAAATGATTAGTTTGCGCTAAAATGTATCCAAGGATCATAATTCGAGTGAATTTTCTCGAACAAGTGAAGGAGTGCAAAAGTAAAAACACAAAAGGATTTGAACCTACACCTGCGTCAACTTATGAGGCTACGCATTATTTACTTGACCACAACGTGGCCGCAATTGAGGCCGTTCCATTGACCATATTTCCCTTGGGGGCCAAACTTGGCTCAAAATTCGCCATAACTTCTTTCAGAGAAACGATTAGCAGAAACGGAAGTCAGATTCGGAATCAGCGTTCGAAGACGAGTGTAACGGTATGCATCTCGTCTCAAAAGGCTACGGACATTGAGTATCGTTCCCTTGTTAGGCTCCAGTCTATAGATATCGTCAAGTTACGCGCCTAGAGGACACGTCCTCATAAATTCCGCCCAAACTGTAAATCGCGCACTTCATCAAAACTCTAACGTAAGTGATTGTATGACATTTTGATTGCAAATATTATGTTCCCTTCGCCCGAGAGATCCCATTATATTGGAAATTGTTGTTGCGTGTGCTTCAGTGCTCAATTGTATATCAAAGCAGTTTTGTGGTTAGAAGTCAGATCCATCTAACTATCAAGTCCGACATGGATTCATTGAGCGGTGTGAACACAAACGATCAGCGTGTTATACAACCATGCACGGTGGAATTTCGACAAATATGCAATCTCTACATTTAGGCGAAATTCGTGAGGACTTGTTTTCGTAGGCTCGCAACTCGGCGATTTCCATGGATTAAAGCCAAAGATACTGAAGGCACAGTCCTAGTAAATTTAACCTATAAAAGCCAGCGGTCAAGTTTTCTGAAAAATACGCGAGAAGTGCAGGCGAAGTCACCAACTTTCGTGACTCACTTACAGTCCCTCACCATGTCTGAAAAAAAAAGCGCTGTACTCCATAGAGACAACAGGTTTTATAAACAGCGCGTTCGAAAATCTTCATGAGAAATAAAGTATACTTTCAATCCAAGATCATCAACATTTTAATCAAAATCCATCCGCGAGCCTTCAAAGCGTAAAACGACAAAAAATGAAATAATCGAACATCTTGAAAAACTTATAGAGGTTATCCCACCTGCCGATTACGAATATCACATCTGCTTGCAAGAATGCTTCATAGTAAACGGTAAGGAAAATTTAGAACGATATATTTTTCCAGAACTCACCAGCCCTTCTATTTCTTTTGGAAAGAAATCTACGGCTACTTTTTAGCCCTCTATGTTCTACAAAGGAATTTCTATCAAAAGGTTCTTGCTGAAATCTACTGGGCCAATGTGCGTTGCTTTACACCTTTGCGAAATGATCTCCGCATAAAGATTTGAGAAAACTGGAAACGGAATATCGAGCACAAGCTCAAAGAAAGGATTTCGCTTAACGAGCTGAACACAAAGCTGCTTCCGAAATCAGAATATATTTATTTTGAAGGAAGTTATGGCGCTGCGTAATTTGCGTGATTCGCGTAATTCCGCGACATTCTGGGAAATTCACGAAAATTTTGCACATTTTTGAGCGGTATTCTACGTAACAAACCTCCTTCTTCACCTACACCTCTGAACTTTACATCCTCAGAAAAAACCAGCATGTTCTATGGTGTGACCTACTGGTTGAAGTTTGTGCTCCGCTTCTGCGATAGCACGTGCAGTGCGACCAGTTTTATGTCGGACTAGCTGGGTTTCCCGGCTCCGCCCTGTCAATAATATATTTGTAATCAGCATGCTCGATTACCCCCTGTGCCAACTCCCAGCCCCGTAGCTCAAATTTTGCAAAAAAAATCGATAAAATCGATATCGATCGATAACAAAAAGTAGCCTACGACACTCGCCCCGCCCCGAAGTGTGCGTGTGCCAAGTTTGGTCCGGATCGGTTCAGAAATAAGAATTTCTATTCGGAACATACGTATTTACATACAGACATACAGACAGACATCAGACATACAGATAAACAGACATTTAGCTTTATATATAAGATGATGCTAAAGCCGGTAAAACCCGAACTATAACTTTCCTAGGAGTGGAAAGTTCGGAACAATTTTCCGATTATGGCAAAAAAATTCCGAGCCTACAAATTATATCAGGAATGGATTGGTTACGGACGAAGGAAGTTAGTGGATCAAACCCGAAATACGAAATCTTGACAGTTCGAATTTCAAAGGATTCTCTTATCCCCATACAATAGGTGTGAGCTTGCTTGTGGCGGCTTTTTTTAGTATTTCTGTATTCACTATCTGGAAGCTATACAAAGCGTAATCCAAAGTAAACATCAACAAAAGACATCATTTTGCTATGAGTAAATAATGAGGAATTTTTCTGATTTCAAACCAAGTCATGCAGGTTTTAGAGGGTTTTGGAGGGAAGCTTTTAAAGCTCCAGCTTTAAAACATTCTATCAAGTAATGGTTCATAGAATCCATAGAAAGTGCAACGTGCTAATTGAAAATCACATCTAATCCAAGGGGCTCTTCAGTGAGAGGTGTGCGGCAAGGTGTCATGTTTTCGGAATTTACCGTAGCTTCATCTAGTGGACTTAGCCGATATATTGTACACAAAGTCATTCATTTAATACGCTAACTCCTTACTTCCACATCTTATGGAATCACAATATATTCATAACCTTTTGAACTAACTCTAAAATTCTGCTCTTATTCCTCGATTACATAGCGATTGTCGTTCAAAGTTGCAAATCCGTAGTGTATGGACTTTGTAACATAATGCTCTTTGTCTTATCATTCAGCATTCAAAGCTTTGAGCAAATTAAATAATCCCATGGGTTTTGGATTTTTCCTTCAGTCATACATAATTACGTAAAAAAAACGGCCAGAACTGATCTGCCCATCAGTGGTAACACCAGGTTCTTTCTCTATATAAAGGCGGTTTACCATCGCTATTTTGTCTAATTTTGCTCATTTTTGGTCATGTTATAACCTACTTGGTTTACTGCGTTCTTTCAGACAAACTAGGTAACTGAAGAAAATGAGACTTCTGCTAGTGTTTTTGGCAGTAATTGTCCTGGCTGAGGGTCATGTCGCGTACATTGGCCTCCCCTCCCTATGTGACGTGTGCCAAAAACTGGTCGGCTTTGTGAAAGAAAAGCTTGGAGGAAAAGTTGGCGATGCTCGAGAGGTTTTTGTGTTTATCGCTTCATGATTGTAGTATCACATAAGCATACTGTTCAAACAATCTTATTGTACTAACTAAGCCATCTTTCAGCTTGCAACCGGATTCTGTGAGAAAAAAGCTCCATTCCTCCTCCGGGGCCCATGCAAGAGCCTCGTAGCAGACAAAATGGGCGCCATTGTGAACCTATTAGGGGTGAGTTAGAAATTTGTATTCATCACTATTTATGCACCCTACGACGCATAGTCAAGTAGTATTTGAATTTATGATTTCTGCCTTCGAACAATTTCGAATCTTTCAGGAGAAGGCCGACGTGAAAGGAATCTGCACTAAAATCAAGTTGTGCAAAAACTAAATCCATAACGCTTCAATAAATCATTCACGCACCTCTGGTATTTCAGCAAATTAATCTGAAATAATTGAATGCAATTGTGCGAGGCATTCCAACATTGAGGATTGTCTCTCACTTATCACTCAGAGACTGCATGAAACAACTCGCATATATTAACAAAATGTCTTACTCTGATGTTGACAGAACCGATAGCATTCCTTTAGTAACAATATATCTAACAACTACAATGTATCGCATACAAAAAAAGGGATTTTGCGAAAGTGCTGCAAATTCTAACACTGCCGCACAAGTACGTGATTGCAAATGCTCAACAAAATTCATCAAAATTGTTGTGCTATGTTCTGGTATCAATGCAAAATTTGCTTAACAAGTTTGAATTTTGAAATATTTGCAAAATCCAAATTAAACATCTATGTGTCTCGTTGGTACAGGACATCAAGATTTTAATTAGATGCAAGCTCATTATAAGCGCTGGCAAGAGGGATATGTTTGTTAAAAGACCATTAGCATCAGTCATCAAAAGCTATTTCCTAAAATCAGCATCCAATTCAAAATATGCACGCAACGAAATTTTTTCTAAAAAGTGAACAGAAATGGGAAAAATGAGACGGCTAGGGAAGGAAGATTGGCAAATTTTGATTTGAATATACAGGCATTCATTGCTATGTTATTCCTGTATATTGTCTCTTTAGGCTGAATTTGTCTCGTCAGGTTCTCTGCAACCTTATTTTGGAGATTTCTGATTACATGAGAATTAAACCACAAGAACATGGAGATTCCTAAACGGAAAAACGCAATATGGACTCTTCTTGAATCTCACTAGTTTGTCTCCATGGTGCTTCAAAGTACCGCCTCCATAACCGGTGAACATTTGGGAAAACCTGCTGTCTATTTTCGAGTAAAAGGGCATTGCTTATGAGGTCTTACGATCCACAACATAACACTTCAAGCATCTCCTTCGGAGATTTAGCGAACGACCTTGATCAGCCTTCAAACGAGTTGCAAGCCTGTGGTAAGATGATAAAAGCGGATAAAGAGATCGTTTATGACGCTCTTTATCCGCCGTGCAAAAAAAAACGATTCTAAGTTCAGTGTAGATATGACACACCTTAAACTGTTTATACAAAGGTAAGCTGTGCGGAAGCCTAGTAGGGCTCTTTTGGAAGTAAGGGCAAGCCAAGTTAAAATAGCAAGGAAAAACAAATTTTTAAGATGAAACAAACATACGATCGCGAGACCAATGGCAGCACTACTCGAATCAAAACCATATAGCAAAAAATCTGTGTATCTACCTAATCACTAATCAACAACCGCGTACTACGATATGTACGACAGATGAATTATTCTACTGAACTGTTGATTAGGAACGAAATTTATCTGCCCAAAGCGCTTGCCGCAGCGTGGTTATAGAGGTCATGAGTTGTCAGCAACGTTGATTAGCACCTGATCAGCACCGTATGCAGAAGTAATGTGTGCATACAGCACCCTCGTTCTCATCCGAAAACACTTGAAACTGTATTTCTATGAAATTTTGAATTCAAAGTTCAGTAGCGATATATGCCGATTGAAGTAAAAACTTGCATTTAAGGGTCCTCTTGCACGCTGTTTTCAAAAATGCTAATGATTTTGCTCAATACTTTCATATTTATTCCTTTTTTAAGAGGTAAAGCTTTTACGACTTCAATATAAATTTAGAAAGCTGTCCAAGGAATTTCATCACGTTTAATTTTCAGCTTACAGTAAGGTCGTAAAAAGCTCTATCTCTCAGAAAAAGAATAAATTTGAGAGTATCGAGCAAAGCCATAAGCATGTTCGAAAACAGCGTGCTTGAGAACCCTTAAATGCAAATTTTTATCAATTGAAATGTATCGCTACTAAACTTTGAATTCGAAATTTCATTGAAATTCAGTCTCATGTCGAATGAAACCGAGGGTGCTGTATTCCACCCACTGGTTTTGCATACGCTCAGACAATCGCTGGGGGCAGGCGGGCACCGGAAAAATAGATTGCTGATTTTTTGCACCCCGCTCGCGGATTTTTTGCAAAGCAATCAGGACTTTTCGGAAGACCGCTCGCTGAGTCAGCGGATTTTTGAGAGACCGCCTGTTGAATTTTTTTTGCTCTTATCTTTTGCAGATATATTGCTGAATCTCTGAGGAAATCGAGAACTCAGCAAGCGGTCTTCCGAAAAGTCCTGATTGCTTTCCAAAAAATCCGCGAGCGGGGTGCGAAAGATCAGCAATCTATTTTTCCGGTGCCCGCCTGCCCCCGGCGATTATCTGAGCGGTTCCGATTAGGTGCTAACTAACCTTGCTTACAACTTATGACCTCTATAACTACTCTGCGGCAAGCGCTTTGGATGGATAAGTTCCCCCCACCCGTGTTGATTACACGCGATTCAGAACAATCCACTAACTCCATGATTGCGCGAACTGGAGGATACCACTAACAAAAAGTTGATCATAGTCGAACTGATGTTTTTATTACATAAAGATGCTTATGAGAGAAAATCGTAATACCAGTCCGGATTATGCGAGAGCATTGGCTAGTGCTATAACACTTGAACACGGCTGGCTGAAATTACTGGACTGATCGAAGCAGACGTAAAACAAAGGTTTCTCTTTATCCTTTTTAACAAATAACACTGTTCTTATTACGCATCCAGTATCTGTTTTTTAGCTTGAAAATGACACGCTATAAATGGACAAAACTCAAACATTTTGAAGATTCGTAGATCAAGATAAGGTAATGCGGCTTTATCAGTCTCCTATTATGCATTGGAGTGGTGAAGTCACATAAAGAGTTCATCTTTTAATCTTTCATAGTAGCGTGCCTTATCTTGATGTACTTGATGTATCAAATGAAGGGTTTAAAATTAATTGGCTTATCCATAGTACCCGAATTTGCACCTATTTGCAGTCATGTGCTTTACCACGCCATTGGCAGTAACTCTTTAACGGTTCAAGCTTTAGATAAAGCAACGAAAACCAGAAACACACTCTTCTGCTTGCACACGTCAACAAAGGCTTGGAGAGGATGAAGAAAAAGAATTAACTCCTCTGAGACGCAGAATATATTAGGTCGGTGCAAAAGTTTTGTTAATTTTTCCAATCCATCGGCAAACACGTTAGAATGAAGATAAACAAATACTTTAAAAAGCATCTGATGCAGAATTTCTTCCTCTTTCCAGCTGTTAAACTTAATGTGTGTTTCGTTGCGAATTTGACGAGAAATTTGCTGGAAATTACAACCACTCGTTTTTACCATGTCCAACTTTCGCTAATTTTTGAAATTTTTGTATGAGACTTTCGGAGGGGCCTTAATAACCACCAGATAGGCCAAATCTTTTTTCAACTTATGCAATTTTTTCTTTGTCCCAGCTGCTTTCTCAGATTTTTGCTAAATAATTTTCTAGAAGTCTTGTGTTTTGGAAAAATCGCATAACCTGTCATCGCACCAAACACTGCAAAACCTGCAGAATACTGAAGTTTCATTACTCAATTATTACTACCGCTACCGTTACGAAGTAAATGAGCGATTTTCGCTTTAAATTATGAAGATTTTGAAACATAGGCTACGTCAGTGCGCACTCCTGAAATTGAGAAATACTGCGATTTTCCCCACAATTTTCGCCTGTCTCAGCAAAAACAGACAAGTATTAGAAGGAGGAGAAAAAGTTGCATCGAATAGTGACTGAAGTGTTTAACATTTTATGTTCTACGAGGTCAAAATAGGTTGAATGTAAAACTTGGTCACTTCAAAAAGTAAATCGTAGAAATTCTGAAAGTCAAGCCGGAGAGCTACAAAAATTGCTTCTGTTGGCAAAAGGTTTGCTCTATTTGCTGATTATTAGGGCTCCTCCGGAAGTGTCATACAAAAATTTTGAAAATTAGCGAAAACTGGACATGGTAAAAACGAGTGGTTGTAATTTCCAGCGAATAACTCGTCACTTTCGCAATGAAACACAGTGCGAGTTTAGTAGCTGTAAAGAGTAAGAAATTCTGCATAGGATACATTTTAAAGTGTTTGTTTGTCTCCATTTCAGCGTGTTTGCCGATGCATTGAAGAAACTGACAAAACTTTTGCACCGACCTAATATAATCAGATGATTGTAGAAGATACTATTAGGTTGTCCCATAAGTCTTTTCATTTCTGAGTTTCCGCTATGATAAGTCATACACTTCTTATTCCGATCAGACATCAGGGTACTATTCGATAGAGCAAAGAGCTCTACAAGATGGCCTTCCTGTTTTTGCACCAGCTTCGATCTACCTCAAGTTTAAAACCAAAATTTAAAAAGTTTCGGATGCCCAAAAATTAGAAATTCTTTATATCTTCGTTCAAAAAGTCCTACAAACCACTCGCTCACGCATATACATTCCATATCAGACATTCATATGTACTGTTGCTGCATTTTTTCATCAGCTAGAATTCAAGAAACCGAAAATTTTCATGTTTTTACCAAAGCGATGCTGTGCTGTTCTTACATAACAATTGTATACTAGAAGCCTTAGAAGTACTACCGTTGATTTTTGGCTCTCTACATGCTCTGGTTTCCGAGATATGTTGATTTAAGCGTGAAAGACCCGAGTGAAGAAAGCTAAATTTGTTTCTCGTGAACCAGAGCATGTAGAGAGCCAAAAATCTAAGTAGTACTTCTAAGAGCTTCTAGTATACAAGGTTTAGTGTAAGAACAGCACAGCATCACTTTGGTAAAAACATGAAAATTTTCAGTTTCTTGAATTCTAGCTGATAAAAAAGTGCAGCAACAGCACATATGAATGTGTGATATGGAATGTATATGCGTGAGCGAGTTAGAGGTGTGTAGGATTTTTTTGAACGAAGATATAAAAAATTTTCATTTTTCTGAGCATCCGAAACTTTTTAGATTTTGGTCTAAAACTCGAGATGGACCAAAGCTTGTGCAAAAGCAGAAACGCCAATTTATAGAGCTTGCTTTGCTCTATCGAATAATATCCTGATGTCTAATTAGAATAAGAAGTGTATGACTTATTATAGCGAAAACTCAGAAATGAAAA